AAAAAACAAAACAAAAAAACAAACAAAAGCAATCGGATAAGCATTTCTATAAAAAAATACACTACACCGTAAAAACATCCTTTTATCACATTTTACGAAGCACTTATGTTTTTTTCGTCGTGGTTTACATAGAAAAAACTCTAATCACTTGTTTTTCTTTATACATTAGTTATTCAATAAACAATAAGAAGCACAATAATTTAAATCACAGATACCTACACTTAATTCCTCAGTTTACACGAAACAATGTGATTTATAAAAACAATTTTTTTTTTCTTTTTTTTCTGCTGCAATAATTCCTAGATGTATTACTATTTGTTTATATTACATAGTACAAAAAAAAAGTTCCTCCTCAAGCGTGTATAGACGAATATATAGCCTAATAATGAAATACAGTGAAATACGATATTGAAAATAATCTAGTTTCTCGCTGCGACTTATAAAAATGCGGATAGAGTTTTGCGAGGAAATAAAAATACGTGAAAGAGAGAGAGAGAAAAAAAATCTGTACAAAATATGAAATAAAACATTAAAAAGAGAGATCGCTAGAGAGAGGGACAGAAAAACGATAAAGAATACAGAAACATACTCACACAAATACAAAGAGTTAGATAGATAGATAGATAGAGAGAATGAAAGTGAAAAAGAAAGAGAAAGAAGAAGTAGAGAGAGAGAGAGAGAGAGAGAGAGAGAGAGAGAGAGAGAGAGAGAGAGAGAGAGAGAGAGAGAGAGAGAGAGAGAGAGAAGAATGAATGAATAAGAGAAAATAATATCGCAAATGAAAATGAAAAAAAAAAAAAAAAAATGAAGATACAATTTGCCTTGAAAAAAGTAGGAAAATTAATAGAATAATCGGAATTCAATTCAATTCCGGACACAAAACATTTTCGTGATCAATCCATTATATCAATCATTCACTGCATTCCATTAATCTCTTCTTTGTGCTTATTGGCTTTGTTCCATTATCTCATCAGTCCAGCTTTCTGTCTCTAATTATAAATTTATTGCATTGAATTAAGCAAAAGCAGTCACAAAAAGAAAGAAAGAAAAATAAAATCCAATAGTTGTAACAATTTTTATTTCGTATTCTTGATCCCGTCCACGCCACGCTAGCATTTATCACACCCGCCTGTTTTCTTTTCTTTTATTTTTTTCTAAACTAACCTAAACCAGTGCCTGACTAAATAACCAACTTATTGCATTCTGTATTTCGTACGAGTCATTCCAATGATTGCAAAGTGTGAATAGGGTTTTTTACTTATTGTTCACATTATACATGTCCTTACCTATTGTTCGTATTATACAGTCTTATTTCACAGGAGTCGAGGAGACAATCTACAGGAAATGAAGTTACTGTGTTTGATTATCTTTATTTCTCCGTCGTAAGAGAAGACAGGTTCCTTACTACTCTCCCATGGTATAACGACCACTCTACTCTGGTATCACTCTACTACATTATTACCTACTAATGACCTTCGCTATCTTAACTACCAAATAGGTACCAATATCACTCCAATACTTTTATCAACAACTGATACTCTTCCCTAACATCACGTAAGTACTAATTTCACTTCGGTACACTGTTATCAACTACCACTCCTCTCTATCGTAACTACTTCATAAGTATCAATATCACTCCTCTACCTTAATACCAGTTACTGTCCTTTCCTTATCTTAACTACCATACAAGTACCAATGGCACACCACTTATCCTGTTACCATTACTTATTCTCAACTACCACTCGGCATTATCGTAAATACCACACAAGCGCCAGTTCTCCTACTTACGCCCATGTCTGCCGAGATAGTCCTGACGATCTTCTGGAGTGGCAGCAGGGCATCCACAGCTGACCCGCCTGTCACATTCTTCAGCAGGGCCTCCTCCGTCTTGCTGAATCCCATGAGCAGGAACAGACCCGTTGTCAAGTTGTATTCACCTGCGACGGAGATGTGGCGAATGAGGATTGAGCTCTGGGTGATTTGTGCCAGCTGACCCTTTGGCAGGAGGGGTGGGATTTGCGTGCATGTTGTCTTGTATGTTGGGTAAGTATTTTTTTTGCATGTGGGTGAGGATTGTGTTTGTAGGCGTTATACACTGGTTTATGTGTCGGTTGAATATTGAAGTTTTGCTTGTGTGTTGCCCTTTATGTTGGAAGGGATGTGATTTTTGCTTTTATGCTGGTATACGTTTTGCTGTTTATATTGATATAGATTGGTATAACATGTAGTTTCCACTGTATACAGGGCGTCAATTGCCGCCCCCCCCCCCGACTCTGATTGCTGATACATGCCACATAAAAAAATATTTGGTTATCGTCCTTGTTTCTTGGAGGAGGCGAGTCGAGGGCAATTCTTTTTTATCATTTCTGTATATTCATTTATTCATCTATCAATATTACTATCATTATTATTACACTATTTCTTTTTTTCCAGGGGACCAGCATAAAAGGAGTCGTTGGTGCCTATGAAACGATGGAATATTGTCCCATGCACCCAGCTA